CCTCTTGGGTGTGGTCCTCCCCCAGGACCTTTGGCTCCTCTAGTCATGGCCCACCCCTGGGCCAGTCAGGACCCCAGGCCCCTGGCTCTTGGGCATCCCTTGCAGTGGACCCCTGGCCCTTTTGACCATCCTGGTCCTAGCCTGGGCCAGTCAAAGGTATTCTCTCATTCAGTCTCTGAGTCCCTAGCCCTTTACTCTCTCTCTCGGGGTCTGCCCTCTGGGCCCTCCAAACACAAGGGGTTACCCACCCAGTGGTGGGGGCTAGGGGTTGAGGCACCCCAACCTGCCTTTCACCAGGGTAGTAACTGGCCTGGCATTTCCTGGGGACTCCCACGCCACTGGGAGCCCCACTAGGCCACCCACTCCTGGCAGGGTGCAGTTTTAGGTCATACCCAGGACCAGGAGCCTCCTGCCATCCCCTACAGCTCCTCCCTTACCTCCAGATGGAACTGAGCAGACCTCTGACCAGGCAGTGTTGTCACCTGATCTCCAGCAGCCAAACTGCCTTGTTCATATAGGTAGCCCTGAGCCTAAAATGGCTGCCCTCATTAGGCAGCTGGAGGCTGCCAGCTCCAGGGCCTTAAAGTGGCAGGCACACACAGGGCCCTAGCACACCCTGGAACCAATTAGCAAGCTCAGTCTCAACTAGCCCTGCTTAGGGGGTTGAGTGTTGCTGACCCAGTTGCCCATCTGCATTGCAGAGGCCTTACACATATGGCAACTTTGGCAAGAACCGTACCACCTGCTGGGTGGGCTGTTGAGGATGTACCAGTTGAGTCTACACTGTTCAGACACTGAGACTCCTCAGCTTCATCTTGGCACTGGCCATGTTACACAACTAACTTTGGTCCTGTTATATAACCATTCATGCATGTGCACATCTTCTGCCCTGATCATTATGGTGTTCTGTCTAGCAATATTAAGCTTAGTAACATTTTGAGAATATAGCACAACTTACTAAATATAGAAGGTTCCTGCTCTATCCATTACTGGCATATGCCATCATCAGAATACTTGATCATTATGGAATTATGTCTAGCAATATTAAGCTTAGTAACATTTTAAGACTATAGCACAACTACCTACAACTAGCGTAAGCAGAACTAAACGTGCCTTCTCAATGTGTACCTTTCCAGTGGTGCCTCACCCTGGTGCTAGCTGTGACAACAGAAATGTCCGGCTGATATCAGTAGGGAGATTTGAACTGGCCCTAATTTTGTCTGTAATGCACTCACATTCAAAATAGATAAGGATCTTTTCTAACAGATTACAACTGGGGAAGGCTGTAAAATAGTCTTTAAATTATATTTTTCCAACGTTGTTGGAAAATAAATGGCTAAAAGCATTTATTTTGAATGAACAAGGATATCTTTTTTGAGCTATAAAAATGAAGAAAATAATCCTATTTGATGTGTGTGATGCTGTATTTTAAAAATGAAAAAAACCAACATTTTTTTATGGGCTAAATCTTACTTTCGGGCACAGAAATTTTTTGCTGATTTTATATATCATTTTTTCACTGTAATCTGCACTGTGCAGTGTATATAAATAAAGGCATGGTATAATAATCCAATCTTTGGCCAAGATGTCAGTAACTCCTAGATTCTAATCCTGGCTACAATCTCTCTCCCTCTTTTGCCTTGAATTATTCATCTAGTTGACCTGCCATACTTTTCCTTTTTTTAAATTGGGGAAAATAATGTGACTTAGCTCAAAGGCCTTGTAATATTTATAATATTTATAAATTGCGTTTGAGACTGAAAGCACTGTACAGTCAGGATCCATGTAGATCTCTACTGTAAATTTTGTGTTAATCATTCAGAAAGTCCTTCGATTTCTTTTCAGGTTGCACAGGTAATAAAACTTCATAACAGAATCCTTCTACAGATTAGGGCCAGATTCGCTGATGGTATACTGTGTAGTAATAATGCACAGTTAAATTGGTGAGGTATCAATTTATAACAACAGAGAATTTAACTTCTTTGGAGTCCATTCTCTACATGCAAGATGATGCAGAAAGAATTCTGCATTCCTTTGGTACAATACAGATAAACGGTGCTAACATACAGTATACAACTCCATTCGATTACCAGAGAGCAGAGCAGATCTCTATAGTGCAAATCTTCACAGGTCCTTTTATTACATCGTACTAAATGCAGTTCTACCCCTGGAGAGATTGGCCCAGTACACGTTCTGTCTCTTTGTTCTACCAATATTTTCCCTTGGAAAGATGAAGGAGGGGAGAGCAGGTAAAGGGATTTTATTAAAAATGAAAGTCAGAACGAAAATATGATTAATCTGTGAAAATATAATGAATAAAATAAGAGTTGCAGTATTTTTTGTAGCAATCTCAGTCATCTATAAATAATCAAGGATTGCTTTTTTGCTTTAGAAAGTGTCTGGGAAAAGGTGGATCAGCTAAGACTTTGGGGTTTAATTGGATCACATTTACTTGCCTTGTCCCAGTTGTATTAGAAAAGACTTAAAAGGAGGGCCACATACAGAGAAAGCTCTACAATATAGAAGGTTCCTGCTCTATCTGTTACTGGCATACACCACCATCTGACAGAGTGCCCTTTTCTTTGCTTAGGATTATACTTTTGTTGGTAGAAAAATAGGAAGGAATAACAACTGAAGAGGTGCACAATAATTGGATCCATTTCTGCTGCTGTCCCTCACATGGTCTTTTACTGTAACAGCAGTAAGAGGCAAGGACAAGAAAGCAGATCTGAACCTCTAGAAAAATATGATAGCTAACAGAGCCTAGCATTTTTCTTGCTTTCAAGTTCCACCCCCCACCTCTGCTGCCCAAATATACCACCTAAATAGAAAACAAGTCTTAAGAGCTCCTACTAAAACAAAAAATCTCCAAACTGCCATGCATCCTGCATGCTGCCAAATCCTAGGCCTGGAACATGACTCCTACAAATTTTTCAACTAAGCATTCAAAGTTTAATGCCTAAATGGAAAGCAACACTATCCACTCCCAGTACACCAACATTACTAGATCTTGCTGCATCTCTTCTACTTTGCTACAGAATCTGAGTGCTTGGTCCTATGAGATTCAGGTGCTGGATATATGTCTTTGCAGTAGATACCGCTGGTGCAATGGTATTTGATACTTTGCAGTTTAAATGAAGCAGCTGGTAGTAATAAACAAAGCAATCTGACTAGAACCAGTAAGAACCAGTTTTCCCCTGTGCCAGTTTCAAATATGACCTGGATATTTTGGGGGGGGGGGGGGGGCGGGGGACACTGCCATTTTTTCACTTTTTTTTTAAAGGGAATA